CCTAACAGAGGGGGTGTGCTTGCAACAGCGTAGGGAGTGACTGTTACTAAGAAAAAGTGGGGAGGTTTAGCAACTAATTTCAGGAGAGGTTTAAGAAATGGACTTTTTGCAAAAAAAAAAAAAAGACCCAATTTGGTGAATTGCCAATTTTGTTTTAGAAATAATAGCAAACTGAGTGAGCGGGAGAAAATATGAAGTTTTTAGGACAAAATACCCTTTATTAAAAACAGAATCCATCGAATCCAAAAAGCATATGTTTCGTTTGTCTTCCAAGTTTGAATTCGACTCCATCCATTCAGCTGGAAGCATCTCCAAGTTCAAATTCGACTCCATCCATTCAAACTGCGGCTGGATGGAGGCATCAGCTCCAGCCATTCAAACAACTTCAGACTGGGAAGCATCGACTCAATCTAGCTGGGAAACATCAACTCGATCAATTCAAATTGCGGCTGCCTGGGAAACATCGACTCCATCCATTCAAACGACTTTAGATTGGGAAGCATCAACTCCATTTGGTTGGGAAGCATCAACCCCATTGATTCAAACTACGGCTGGCTGGGAAGCATCGACTCCATCTTCAAAGCAAGTGTACTAGAGGAAGGCGGTAAATGATAATGTCAGATTGGCTAAAACAGCAGGACGATTGAATAAAGCTCATAATGCTTATCTCTGTGATTAATACCCAAACTATATATCTACTTATATGATCAACAACAAGAACAAATTTTGTTTCTAGACCATCTGATATGGAGCAACTTGGGTGGTTTTTAACAGATTTAGGCACCATCCAGCATGGGGAAGACCAGATGATTTATTACAGAGTTGAAAACTGATGATGCACAATCTGGCCAGTCTTAGCTGTCGATGATCTTGCCTCTGAGCTGAGTAACAGGGACCTGAAACGGGAGGAGAAGAGAAGCTCCGGGGAGAACCCGGCGTAAGGGCTCCGAAGCTCAAGTTAGAATCCTTCAAAGGCAAGATAAACCAGATAGCGCGAAAGTTAGCA